AAATATTAAAATCAACTTGATATCTGAGTCTGAGTAATTAAACGGTCCTTTCTCTCTTTTGTTGGTATCAGAGCCTGAGGATTTAGAACTGCTAATTGGTATACATATAAAGACTCCAATTTATCATATATCATAGGTTATCTTGATATGGTTCAACTGAACTATACACCTAGGATCTGACAAAATATCGTATCCCACGCTTTTTTATAATCAAAATAATTATAACTCATATTATATTTATGTAATCCTTTAAATTTTACTGGCGAAAATTTCAAAAATAATAGCAATAACAATAATTTGTTAGTTGAGTGGTGGCGAGCTTATTTTATTTTTTATACATTTTTTTATTTTTTTAATTCTGGGTTTTAAAAAGGCGATGACTCCTGGTGACTCAGAGAGCTGTATTAGCACAGGATTATGCATTCAGTCCAAAACTTAAATACTTATTAGTTAATTAATTAATATATACAATTATTACACATGTCATGTGATCTCTATGACCTACGTGCTATATATGGACCAATTTTATTTCGTTTTCTATTGGCTGTGCTATGTTTCTCAATTGTTTGGCAAGCCAGAAAAACTGAAAAAGACACCACTACTTGCATTCACTGGCAGAGCCACATGTAGTTGATGTTGAGCCATGACTTCAAAATTTTTTCTATTAATATATTTTGTAATGTGAATCTCTTAAATTATTATATTTATAATTTATGAATCCCTTAAATTAGTTTGAGTGCTTTTTTAAATATATAAAATATTGAGTTATGTTTCCAAGAAATAAGAGTTAGTTAAACTGAGAGATATATTATTTATCCGTTAGTATACTCACTTATTAAGTTAGCATCAGTTTTACTTGTTACCACATTAATAGAGAGAGCATTTTCTGTAATGAAGATTGTGAACAATTGGTTATATAATCGAATATAAGATACTTAGATGAATGATTGTTTAATCATTTATACAGAAAGATGTATTTAATAGCAATGACAATGAGTTAATTATTCAGAGATTTCAAAATATGAAATTACGTAGAGAACAAATGTGAATTTTTTTTAAAAAATTCTTCTAATTGTTTTTTGTATTATAAATGGAAGTGGTAGCTTTTTATTACAGAATTCAATTTATTTTTAAATTTCTTATACTAAAAAATATATATTATACGTGAGTGTCCTCTCTGACCCTAGGGTCCTAGCTCCGCCATTGCTTGCATTGTATCTCAATTTTATCCATATGTTAATTAATTCTTATGCATTACAATTAATATTAAATAAATACTCCCTTCGTTCCTAATACTTATCACATTTCAGATTTCACGTTCCTTAAAAAAATCATTATAATAAATTATTGAGTAAATTAGCTATATTACCCTTAATTTAATATGTCCAAACACCAAATTTGTTAGGAATCGAAAGAATAATTGTTGGTTATATACAAATGGTGAATATAGAGAAAAAAAATTATTGTTCTTTAAAACCACGAATGTGACAAGTATTTTGGAATATAATATTTTATAAAATATGACAGGTATTTAGGAATAGAGCGAGAAAATATGTTCCTTCCATTCTCAAATATTTGTCACATTTGATTTTTCACGTCTCCTAAGAAAACTATTTAATTTGTCTAAATTATAATTAATTAATTAAATGAATTGATTATACTACTCTTAATTTATCTAAGTTACAAAAAACGATTGAGGAAGTGAAGAAATCACTGCTAGTTATACAAAAAGGATAATAATGAAAAAAAAATATTTATAAAATTAAAAAACATTTAAAAACATATTATTTTATCAAATGTAACAAGTATTTGTACAGAGTAGCTCGTTATGTTTTCTCGTAAACTTCACCGTCATGGACCATAATGGGTTTATTGAATCATTTCGCATAGAATCCACTGAAAAATTAATTAGAGTTTATTTACAACTGATTATGTATCGCGGCAAAGTTGTTTAGTTCTTTTAATAAATATGGATGGATAATATTTTTCTAAAAATTATTATAATTTATTTTTACATTGTTTTAATTTAAATTATTTTCTTCCGTGTTTAGATTAAACGATAAAAGGTGAAATTATATTTTTGCATATTATTAATTTACAAATATTTATAATTTTAGATTTAAATGACAAAACCATTCACTTCTACTCTGTGCACAATCCCTTCCATTCCGCCATGGATGATGGACCCAATGATTAGGCAGCTTCATCAACTTGAAGCCCATTTCATATGGGATCTCTTGGTGAAGTTAATTTCCCTAGACTCTAGTAGAACAAGATTGTACAGAAGCTTGAGACTTTTTGAAAATGAAAATGGAAATAATAATTTTTGGAATTATTTTTGTTTTTCACTTAAAATTGGATTAAAAAGTAAAAATTAAAGAGATTTTTGCATTTAGCTTCTAAAACATGTAATAGAGCCGTCAATTCAAAGTTGGGATATTTAAGATTTAAATAGTAATTAATTCAGGGAAAATTTTAAGTTTTAAAGTGAAAATAATTGACAGAAATTTCATTCCCTAATTGTATTTTGAAGAAATTTACATGACCAAATCAATGAACTTACTGATTAAAAACGGTAAGCCGTATCAACCAAAAACGAGATAACGACAACTTGTATGACTCACAAGTCATGAAATTGATGAGGGTTGGTGGCTTAGTGACGATCACAAAGCAGGCAATGTTTTACGCAAAAGACTATTTTCTTCGTCGTATTGCAAAAGTCAAGATGGATGACCCTATCGCCCCAAAAATAATATCTTTTTCTTAATATTTTTACAGTTTCTTTAGTAATATAGCTGAGATGTCCATCACAATCTCATATATGAAAAAAAAAAAAAAAAAAAAAAAAAAAAAAAAAAAAATGAAAAAAAAAAAAAAAAAAAAAAAAAAAAAAAAGAAAATGACATGAAAAAAAAAAAAAAAAAAAAAAAAAAAAAAAAAGAAAATTGACATGAGTTTGGAAAATCCATATCTCAAAAACACTAGAGAATCTTAATTTATGTTTTCCTATAAAACAACATATAAATGCTCTGCTTGTTTTAAGGAAATAACTTATTTTTTAAAACAAGAAAAATGTTTCATTGGAAAATAATTTTTTAAACAATTTATTTTCTGTTATTAGTTATAACATTAAAAATTAATTAATAATAATATTTAAATTTATTATTTATAAGACTATAAAAATATCTAAATTTATAGACCTTTCATAAAATTTTATCATTAAATATGAGGTTAATATTGTTGGTGATTGCTGGTAATTGTAGTGATTGATGGTGATAAACCAGTGGCGATTAGCAATGATCACTGACAGTGAGTACATTGAATCAGTAAATATGTGTTTATATGATTGTAATATGGTTATTAATATTTGAAAAATATTTTCTTTCATAAGAATGGAAGTCAATTATTTTTTTTTTAAATGATTTTAGATTTTCATTCGATCAGAAAAATATTTTTCGTTAACTAACTTTTTCCTTAACACTCCACATATTAGATAATTCAAAAAAATATTTTTTAAAAAGTCGTTTTTAAAAAATGAACAGAGCTTAAGTTTTACCGCTAACGCCTTGTATTGAATTAGCGATCGATTATGATTTTATGTTAGAATGACTTAATATATAAATTTAAACAAACAATATCTCAAAACTTAGCTATTAAAATTGGAATAATTATATTTCAAAAGCGGAAATAGACTCATCCATCAATTAAGAAAATAAAGTTTATTTAAATTCCAGCTTTTGTAGAAAATAAACTTTATTTCAAAAGAAGAAAGCACTTGCTTTAACCTTTGTATTATCCTTTGTTTTTTTTAGTAGAATAGGTTACCTTTAACTGAAAATAATTCTTAGACGTACGTTATGTATGAGAACTTAATTTGTTTAAATCAGATCAGGCCATGCAAGTAATTACAGAAGGAAAACTGAAAAGGCGAACAACTTTCCTGAATTTCTTGATGAAATTAAGCAAATACCTTCACGTGATCTGTACCTTACATGCAAAAGAAAAATATAAAGAAGGAAGAGAAAAAATTAGATATTTATTCACTTTTTTTTTTTTTTCATTTTTTTGAGATTTTATAATCATAATAACGTTAATAAGCTTGTTTACATCCGATATAGATAAAAAAGGATATATATCTATATTTAAAAATTTTATTATTTTATCGTCTTTTTTTCAAATGTATAGTTATAAATACACTCATTTGAATCAAAACAATTTGTTATTGGTTTACTGTATAGATGGATACAGATAAGTTTTTCCCATCAATCGTACAGTAGGAATAGCCATTTTCTTTAAATTTATTATAAATATTAACATATAGTCATATACTATACACTTTGAATTTCATGACCTTAGTTTTAGCCATTATTCTTTATTTAGAGAGTTGATGAAATGATATCAATAACAAATACTTTCTCCATTCTAAAAAGATAGTTCACTTTTTATTTTCATAGAGATTAATAAAATAATAATTATTATTGTTAAAGACAGTTTTATACATATAACTTTCCTATTATGTCCATCTTAAATAATACATGAGCAATTATTATATTAGAATAATAAGTAAAAATTAATGAGAGTTATTGAAAATAAAATAAGATTTAATAAAGTTATAATAGACAATTTAAGGATTAATTACAATATAAAAAAGAAAAGCGGAGTTTATTTTGAAACATATCAAAAAAGAAAGGTGAACTATTTTTTTGAGTATTTTTTTAAATTAAAATAATTTAATAATTTATTAAATTTTTATGCAAGATAGAGTATATATAATGAATACTTACTTAATAGTTCATGTCAAAAAGTACAACCAAAATTTCAGTAAAAAGTATTTATAATAGTAACTTTGTTAATGTCCACAATATTAAAGTTGATTACAAATTTAACTGCAATTAGTAAAATTGGAGAGGTGTATATTTGAAATTGTCAAAAAAAAGAAATGACCCTAATTAATCATAATTAAAAAAAAAAAAGGAAATTCTACATGCATTAATCGAGGATTTAAGAATATTTTCACTATGATTTATCATCACATAATGCAAGAAATACATATTAGTCTCCCAATCATATATATATAATTGGTTAAAATTTTATTTTCTAGAAAATACAAAAAGCTCACCCATTCTTCATTTTTCAACTCTCACATTCATTTATTATAATAATATTTGGAGAGAGTGAGCTTAATTGTTGATTAGCTTGACTTAATTACTGATTAACAAGTCGGGAAAGGAACACCGCAGCTTTTAACCACTTCTCTTGCACGAGGAGAAGACACATATTGTCTCAGGCTTGGATTCTTCACGTATCCACAAAAGCAAGGCCTTTGCTCTCTTAACTTGACGCAGCAATCATTTGACGGCGGTGACGATGATTTAATCGCCGGCAGGCATGGGCTCAGCTGGGCAGGGCTACAATTCACAGCATTTGAAAAACGCACCTCAGCCGCCATCACCACCATTACCGCCAACACAACCGCCAGAAAAGGGAATGCTGAGTAAGAAAATTTCTTCATTTTCAGTTGATCGGAGATGCTGAGAGAGTGTGGTTTTTTTATTTTTTATTTCCTGAACTGGTGCATTGAGCAAAGAGTGAAGTGAGCAATTTAAAGACGATGTGGAGGAAGGAGATCGAAAATCGTGAGTCATATTTTTGTCAGCTTCTCAACAATGGCCTTGTTCAATGGGTCCCACAAGAGTGAATAAAGGTAGGTCCCATCCAATTGATTTGTCTGTTTGAGTGTTGATCACTCATTAATAAAGGTCGTTTTCCTGAAGTTAGTGTTCTTTTTTTCTCTGAAATTAGTGTACTAGGATTATATTCGATAATATTATATTATTTTTCTTTTATTTAAAAATTTAATAATTCAAAAAATAATTTTTTCAATTATGTATAAAAATTATATATTATATTATTCAGCTATGGTTAAATAATTAAGATTTTTGGATACTTGCACACGAGGCACTTATAAAATGAAATAAATATTTAATTATTTTCATTTTAACTAATTTACTAAATATGATTTAAAAAAAGGATTAATTTACCATAAATAACCGAACAATGAACTAATGAGACATGTGAAAGTTTAAATTCGCCTTAATATAGAATTAATAGACACGTGAAAGTTTAACACTTAATTCTCATATATTAATTAATTTGAAAAGCCAAATGAAAAGAAAAAATAAATAATAATAATTTTTACATTTTTTTTTATATTTTGATACATTTATTTAATTTTATTGTTGATGGCATTTCTTCTATCTAATAATTAATTGCATTTCTTCTATCAATTAGTATATGAATCAACCGGATCAAACATGCCCTCTAATTGGATTTGTATTTTATGGATTTGTTTTTTACTATATATATTATATATTATATTATATATATATAAAGAAAAAAGAGAAGACGACAACTGGATTTGTCTCAGTTACTGTTGCATTGGGGAAATGGTGGGGTAGTGTCAAGGACGGTCACAAACTTTTATTGCATTTTCTAGTTTTAATTTCAAATCAGGAGAAATAAAAAAATTAAAAAAATTAAGGGAAAAGTCAATCATGAATAGTCCGAATGACTAAAACTAATATATATAAAGAAAAAGAGAAGACGACAACTTGGATTTGTCTCAGTTACTGTTGCATTGGGAAATTGGTGGGGTAGTGTCAAATGACGGTCACAAACCTTTTATTGCATTTCTAGTTTTAATTTCAAATCAGAGAAATAAAAAATAAAAAAATTAAGAAAGTCAATCATGAATAGTCCGAAATTGACTAAAACTAATTAGACAATTTTGCCATTGAAAATGAAAATTTACCATAACCAAATCTATTTCGATTTCAGTTCTAAGTACTACAAATTAGAATTTTCTAATTAAATTAAAATTCAGAACGTACAAATTAGAAAATAGTAAAAATTCTGCCTGTATTAATAAAAAGATATAACAAATATTTTCGCTATAATTTATTAATATAACAGTAGAGATTCAACTACATAAAGTCCTCCAATCACTATATGTGATTTGTCCCTCAAAGATTTTATTTTCCAATACATATTTATAATTATTTATTTTGGCTCTGCTTAATTATTCATTAGTTTAATTTAATGAATTAACAGGTTGGGATAGGAACACCACAGCTGTTAGCAACTCTTCTTGCACCAGGAGAAGACACATACTGTTTCAGGCTTGGATTCTTCAAGTATCCGCAAAGACAAGGCTTTTGCTCTCTTAACTTGACGCAGCAATCATTCGACGGCGGGGACGATGAGTTAATCGCCGGCAGGCATGGACTCAGCGCCAGAGGGCTACAGGTCACAGCATTTGACAAGCGCACCTCAAATGCCATCACCACCACCACTACCACCACGAGCGATAGGGCTGAGTAAGAAAATTTCTTCATTTTCGGTTGATCGGAGATGGTGACACAGAGTGAGAGAGAGAGAGAGAGAGAGAGAGAGTTTTTTCGCCTGAAGTGGTGCATTGAGCGAAGAGTGAAGTGAGCGATTTAAAGGCGAAGGGGAAGGAGATGGAAAGTGCGAGCCATGCCGTGTCGGCTTCGAAACAATGGCTTTCTTTAGTGGGCCCCACAACGTTTAATAAAGGTCGGTCGTGGTCCTATGAAATTAATTAATGGATTTTCCGATCTGGGATTTTAATGGTAGTTGTCTTTAGTCCCTTCTTTTAATTTAAACAGCAATATTTCATTTTTTTTCCCACAAAAATTAAGAAAATAATTATAATATATTAATTTTTTTAAAAATATAATATTTAAATTATCCTTTTTAAAATTAAAAATTACTCATTAAATTTTATTATAATATCAACACTAATTTTATCTCATATTAAAAAATTATTAATATATTCTCAAGATTCTAAATTAGCATTTAAAGTGAAATAAGTAAAATGGATGGATTAATAGGTAAATAAATGTAAATATAAAAATAAATTATACCTAATAAATATAGATAAAATTGAAAAAATACTTTTGAAATCTTCTAAATGGGCATTTAAAGTCAAAATAAATAAATTGTCTCTCTGTTACTGCTAAAGTTGCTAAAGTGGGACAGATGGAGTAAATTATAAGAAAATTACTATTTTATTTTTATATTTTATTAAAATATATTATTTTACTTTTATATTTTTAAATACATACTTTTAACTGTATCTTTTATTTTCGTTAGATTGTTACATCGTGCTGTTAATTTTTTTATACTTCTTTTATTAAACATACGTATATATTAGTTAATTTTAGCAACGTACCATTGTAGGGGTGCCCACTCAAGTGGGATCCACATATTTTTAAAAAAGAAAAAAAAGTAATTAGAGGATGGATGCCTTAATTATCGCGTCAAACGGTGGACGCGTTAATTACGCATCTCCTTTGACAATAAATAAGAGAAGTTCGCAGCTCACAATGCACGCCAACAAGAAGAATAAACACAAAAGAGAAAGAAAAATCTGTGTTTGAGAGGGAGAGAGTTAACTAGTTTTAAAAAGTGTTCTAAAATTAGGGTAGAGAAAAATAGTGAGGATAATTTAGGTGTTTTTGAAAAACACTTTTGAGTGCTACTATTTTTGTATTACTCTCTTTATAAACCTACCATTTCTAATAGTGAAAGAATTATTCGGAATTAATTCCTTGGATGTAGCCCTAAATAGTTAAAAGTGAACCATGTTAAATTTCTCTATGTCATACTTTTATTTTTTCACTGCGTTAATGTTCTCTTAATTTGTTGTGAGATCCAAACACATACATGGACAAAATATAAAAATAAAATAATAATTTTTTGATAAAATGGACAAAAAATTGACGGAAAGATACTTCAGGACAATGAAATAAAAGATAGAGATAAAATTACGTATTTTTTAAAATAAATGGCAATGTGATATATTATGAAAAAAAAATATAAGAAAAAAATCATAACTTCTCCTAAATTATAATATTAATCGGATACACATTCCACAATATTCATTAAATTTTCTGAAAATAAGAATCAATATTAATTTTTTAAAATATTTTACATTAAATATAATTTTTCTATTTTTTTAAATTTTAATAGAAGAAAATTATTTTGTTAATAATATCCTATAAATAACTCATATTAAATCTTGTATCACTTTTCATCAAAAATAAAGTTGATAAATCAATAATAGAAGTGAGAGTATTATTATCGTTATGAAAAGGATAGCACTCTCTATGGGTTTGGAAATGTGATAATGATATAAAAATGCATTTTTTTTAGACTAATATAAAAATGCATTTGAATACAATTATTTTTCAAAAAATATATATATAACAATGATTTCATAACTGTACAGTGTTAGGCTTTGTCGTATTATTTATAAATACATATTATTTTCAAGTAATTTTATTTGTATAATTGAAATAATATATAGAGACAACTAACTAATTAATTTTGTAAAAAAAGTCAATTGGGCATCCAATAATTTTTACGGCAAAATATTGTTTATTTTGGGTTATCTCCTCACATATTTATTAGCTCACAGTTGATTTATGTTCTAATCAGTCTAATAATTTATTTTCACTTCTCGTAAGCGGGTCCGTGTTTTTTTTTAACTGTTCAACAGCCTTCTCACATAGCTTTCCTGAAATTTGAATAGTATCGAAAATTTTTTATTTTTGAATATGGGTAATCAATTACAAATTTTAGTCGCAATTATTAATCATCAGCTAGTATGAATAATTAAATTAAATATATCTTAAATTCGTGTCATAATTAATTATCTTCTAACTTCCTCCTACCTTCATCAATTAATAGCGACACTAATTAAATCAAACCAACCGGTCCTTTTTCATATGGAAAATGACTAAATTCTCGACTATATTTTTAATTCAAATAAATCATATTATTGATTGTGATGTATTTTCTTGTAGAAATAAAATAGCTTTTATATAAAAATATATAAAATAAATTTGGTTTATGGCCTAATTATTCTTATAAGCAATTTATTTATTTATTTATTGAATCATAGTAATTTCAATAAGAGTTATATTAAATGGCTCAACTTAGACTTGGCACAATTTTCATTATAGTGGTTAAATTGTCCATAATGTCCTCGGCCGGTTCCATGTGGGAATTTTCATACGATATACACGAGGACATGGTTTATACATTTTAAACTCCTGCAATGAAAATTTTGTGTTAGTTCCAAATTGGGCAAATATATTTTTCATTTTATTAATACTTATATATTTTGTTATAATTAAAATTTTATATTTCTTTTGTTTTATCTAAAACCCCTTAATTTACATTTTAAGAAAAAAAATTACTTTTTTCTTAGCGTGTAAATCAAATAACTGAAGTATTGATTTTTTAATTTCTATATAATTCAAATAAAGAAATTCAAAATTTAGTAGGATAAAATTGAAAAAAATACATTATTTATGTGTATAATTTAAAATTTTTCTATATTTTATAATTAAAAAAAATTAAAATCAAAGGGTAGAGATTACTACTAACCACCTCTTAATTCTGCCACACATGTTGAGTTCACAGTCATAGTTCTAATAACCGGACCGGACTAATCGGTATGACCGCCTTAATCGGGAATGGAACCATGATTCATTCCGGAATGACAAATTAAATTACAGATTAGTAAACTAGATAAGAATTAATGAGAATCAGTAAAAACCAGATAATAACCGGTCGAATCAAACCGCTATTGACTACAGTTCGATTTAAAATTTGCAAAAACTCCTAAATTTTTCGATCTGGATTTTTGGGACTCCGGCTCTGCTTCCGCTTGAAACCGACGATACACTTAGACCAAAAAGACAGGAAGGGAGGTAATACCTCTAATGGCATCAAGCTCGAAGAAAAGATTCAAAATTTTATTTTCTTTATTTACTTGGTCAACCTCATAAGATCACTGTAATTAGCTTCTGCAGTATCTAAGACATGTAAATATTGTTGCACCCAGGATTAGGAGATGGGTCAAAGAGAAAGTGTTGGCTTTGGATAGTGCCAGAATGGTTGGAAGATAGGACTCCGCTCAACCTAAACGAACAGTGGTTTATACTCAGCATGTTGTTTTAGTTTTTCTTTCCACCTTAATTAATAATTGGCGTCGCGTATTTCTTCCGTTCCAAAATGTTTGTGTTATTAATTTTTATCCAAAATATAAAAAACAAAGTAATTACAGTGTCACGTGATATAAAATATCTCTACTTTTTTCAAAATTGTCCACTATCAAGAAATTAAAACTAGTTATAATGAGAGAGGCATAAAAAAAAAAAATATTTGGAATATCTAAAAATAAAAATATAAATAAATATTTTGGAACAGAGAGAATATATATCATATATATTTTACGAAAAGTCCAAGACTAATAGCTTAAATGGGCTGTAAAAATCCTTTATTTTTTATTGTTTTTCTATCATATGGCTGTTTAGTTTTTAGAATACACCTTGTTTTCATATTAACTAAACATGTATTTCCGAAAAAATGGATTTGAATTGTGGATTAGTACTAAATAATATTATATTTTATAATAATTAATTATATTTTATTTTATATATTAAATTTAGCCCTTTTTATTATTTTTTAAAGATTATTTACTATCTATAAATCATATATTCTTAATTGTATCTTAAAAAATATATTTAAAAATATAATATGTAAAAAGTCCAGTGAAATTATATTGAATCCAATTAAATTCTTCGATTCAATAAATCTTTATCTTTACCGGTTCAATAATTGATTCGACTGTCAGAACATATTTTAATGTAAGCTTCTCTCAACATATTTCAAATGATAGAAATTAATTGATTCCCCACCTCCCTTAGATCGCATTTAAGAACAATTGAAGGATTGAGAGACCCATGGTGTGAAGTGTTCAAGCTCCTTAATGCAAAATCTCCATGGCCAACTCTTTATTTGCATTTTTGAGTGAGCAAGAAATAGTTGAGTTACGTGGACCTTTTAATGAACACAATCCTAGGCACCTCAAAATTAATACCAAGAAAAGAAAATATTATAAATTTTTCATTGTTTTGGATTCTATTTATGTATAAAAATGAAAATAAAATAAAGTAAACATTATAAAATAAAGAATTAATTAAGTAACATTAAAAATAAATCTATTAAAATTTTAAAATCACTGTGAATCTGCTATGAAAATTCACACTCAAATTAAAAAACCATTATCAGATTAGTTTACTCTTTCCTTCCCTTCAAATTGGATTTGAAATTTTCAAATTTTCTTAGTTAAATAGAGAAGAAATTATTCAATTCAGTTTAATCTTTTCAATTTAATTAAATCGAGCAATTAATTCAAACTAATTAGCTTGTGCTAAGTTCGCGACTCATTCCATAATAAGTCCTTTAGTTATTCTAATCTGAGATTCATCTCTCGACACATTCCAGGTATAGAGTTTGATGGATTTCTCTTTTCTCTCTGGAGGATAAAGTAAATAAATGAAAGTACTTAACTATGCTAGCTGAAATTGTTGAACTTGATTATTTATATTTACATTTGCCCATTATTTTCAGAAATTTTCTACAAAAGATTAGTCTGACAGGAAATGTATTTGTAACCCAATTTTATGAAATCTGGAAAGATGGATTACAGAAAAATGCACACCATCACTGGAAGTAGAAAATGAAGAAGAAAGTTCATGCACAGAACTTTTATCAGAGCAGCTAACATCACTAACACATGATTAGTGTAACTTTCTATATATGCAATATACTAAGAAATGTTTTGCAGTTCGTTCACTCTCTAGGCTGTAGAAACCATCTTCACCATCCACTTTTTATGAACTAAACCCTTGTAATCATCTGCAAAAGAAAGGAAATTACATGGAAATTTTAAATAATGGGATTGACTGATAAGCTGCAATTAGTATAAGAGGTTTTTATGCTGTTTAGAAAATCTGCTGTTCTTCATGCTCTAAAGTAGGGTAAATAAATCATCATAAAGTTGTGTGTGTGTTTTTTTTTTTTTTAAAATAATCTAAGCAGAATACAATGATTTTTATTCTATATGTTCCATGAGAAACAAAGATATGGCAAACAATGGTCTGTAAAAAATTAATCTAAGCAGAATACCATTTGATCATTATATATATTACATTTAGCTTTTGAGATAACCTCATATATAGACTTACAAGAATTCTTAAGTACATTTAAGTTAATGCCTAAAGTCATTTAAGTAAAACAGATTTCTTTCAATTCGACACAATGCACATACACGGGTTAGGAACAGATTTCTTATATATATAACATTTGTAACATTAATCTACCATCGGATACTAAAGTACAGATATAGAAAGATAGTTGTATACAAGTAATCAAAATTAAGATATATCTTACCATGATGTGAAATCCCATTTGAGAAATCCTCCTTGACCTCTTGCATTTAAGAACTTGTAAATAGCACCAGAAGCTACATACAGAATTGGATTAAACATCATGAAATATCATTAACCTAAGCATAAACTCCAATTGCAAAATCTAAGAATAAAGTATAATACCTTCATAACCACAGATCACAGGATCTTCTGAGAGCAGAAATGGCATATCTAGACTAACAAATCTACATGTGAATTTGCAACAACAATTAGGCTTTTAATCCAAGGAATTTATTCATTAAAATGTTTAGCAAGCCGTGCTAAAACAACATAATAGCTGTTTGTAGAAATGCATTGTATTAAGTTGGATGCAGTTCAAGAAAGCGGTTTTGCAATATGCATTTGTGATGCCAGCAGTCTTGAAACAGCCAATGAAATAGTAGTTAAAAATAGAGCAATTAATTACTTGAAACAGCCAAGCCCAGCAGCCAAATGAGCAGCAAATCCAGTGGCAAGTCTAGTCTCTACTGCGTTACTAATCATTAGATTCACACCAGAATTTCTTGCCAATTCAATAATTTCAAGGGCTCCCATCACTCCAAATTTAGCTAATTTTATGTTAATAACATCAGCAAGACTTTCCTTGATAACTCCTTGAACATCATTTAGACTCTCACAGCTTTCATCAACGGAAACAGACATCCCATACTTCCCTCTTGCAAAATCACTAACTTCTTTAAGACCTGTAAGTTCATATCTATGAATGGGTTGTTCAAGAAGTGTAGGCCTTATTCCTGAATCTGAAATAAGAAAATGATTTCAGATACTTGTCCTAATTAACCTTCAAGGAATCAAACTTTAAGTCAGGTTTTCCAAAAGAAAATGACATTACCATGTAATTTCTGAAGAACTTCTATGGCTTCTTTTACTGTGTATCTCCCATTTGCATCTATTATAAATGAACAATGGGGATGAGCTGCCTGTATGGCTTGAAGAATTTTGATTTCTGCATTAATGTTCTTCTCCATTTTTCGCTTCAATGTCTTGAATCCTAACTGGCAGTACTTAGAAGCCAATTCAGAAGCTTCTGCAGGGCAAATTGATGGAAGCTGCTTGAATGAAATTCATTGAGCCAAGTCAAAAATTCATTTCTAAAAACTATAAAGAAAAACAAAAAGGGAAAAAAAAAAATTTGTAGTAGAATGCATGTAAATCAAGAACTTAACTGTTATAGCAGTGGTTAATGTATTTGATACACCACCAAATAATCTCCATAGCGGCACACCAATACTATTAGCAACTGCATCAATCAATGCCATTTCAACTCCAGCCCTAACCTTTTGTAACATACAGAGCTTAATGAGGATCACTAAATGCTTCCAGATTAGCATACCTTAAGTGATAACTAGAATAAGTATATTAAAGGGAAAGTAATATATCACCCTTTTAAAATAAAAGGGAGAAGTGACCTATCAGAAATGCTTTTGCAATAGTAAGTGTAGCTGTTTCTCAATTGCATTAGGAGGAATGTCTGATCAAGTTCATGAATAGATCATCTTATATTTAATCAAAGTAATAGACAGAGATATTTTCTGCATGGCAGTTATCCAATTTGTTTGTGATGACTTAAACGGCCTGCAAATTAGATACACCCTAATGATAAAGGCATAATTTGATTCCAGAAAAACAGACACCTTGGCAAAATCTAAAGTTAAGCATAAAATTTTGTCAGTTTATGAAGTTCATAAAGAAAGAAAAAGAAAAGAATAAAAGAAGAAACTTTACTAATTGTTAGAGCTATAAAAGTGCAACACTTGTCCACACATACTGGGACAAATTTTAGATCATATAAAACCATTCAGTCAAAATCATAAGCACTAGTCACCAAAAACCCATAAAATCAAAGACCGATTTGATTGTTCGACCAGTCAAAAATAGTAATCTCATATTCTAACCTTACATAACTACGCTACGCATGATCACAATACACAAATATAACAGAAAAATGGAAAAGAAAATAGACAAATAAACAAATCAATCTTGTAAATTATACTCACAGAAGCAAATTCAGTTCCTGGAAGAATACCACCAATCTCATTAAGCACCAAATTCAACACCCTAGGAGAACTGCAACAAAGAAATTCACATGCTTCCTTAGCCATTGCAAGAGCTACCATCTGATTTTTAGCAGTAACTGAAGGAACAACAGCAACTTCTCCCCACCCAACACATCCATTACTAAGTTCAACCCTAATAGCAACATTCTCTACCTTTTCCAGACTAAGAGCAGTCCCTATACTTAATGGTGCATTTATTTGCACATTTAGTGGCCTCCCTTCTGCTCTCTGCACATCAACCCAAAAAGTCTCAGTCAAGTTCTTGAATCCAAAATTTGTTCTTTCTGCAGTAGAGGAAACTGATGATGACTGTGTCATTAGGTTACTGCCACTAGAACTTGCAATGACACGAATCCTGCTAATGTTCTGGTTAGTATTTAAGTAATTCCCTGGTACCCATTTCAAATTAGAAGAGGTAAAGAAGATCGAAGAATTTGTTAGGCAAAAAGAAGACCTAACAGTAGCCATTGTTCACAAGGAAGGGAAAAAAGAAAGAGTCTTTCTTCTTTGACAGAAAACTAAGGTGATTTATATTACAAATGATTGAATGAGTGTTTTACTGGTAAGTGAAGGAGGAAGAAAAAGAGGGGATATTCCTTTAACTGTTGTACATTGTTTCTTTAATCTTTGTTGGATCAATTGAAGTTTACTATTGGTTAGGAATATGAGCATATTTGGTAATTGCTATTGAGGTTTTAAACGTCTCTTGGAAGTTGGTAGAGGCAAAGTCATTGATTTTGGCTTTGCAGTTTATACTATATTTTGGCTTGCATGTTTTTTATTTCACGTTATAGTCTATAATGCACATCATTTTCTTAGTAGGAGCCATCATTTGCTTTTATTTTAACTATCCAAACCATCTATAATATATAATATATATAAAAGTGAAAGTGGGCAGAGAAATATTGAGACTGGCTAAAATAATTCAATTAAAATGATAAATTATAATTTAGAAAGTTGATTTTATAATAAAAAATTACTTTAATTAAAATTTATTAAATAAAATATTACATATACATACATAAGTTAATGTTATATGTAAATATTATTTGTAATTATATTAATATTAATATAAATAAAGAAGTTTGGACAAATATAAAGAATTTCATATTAATTAGATTATATATATATATACACACACACACACACTTTCTCTACAGCAAAAATCATCATGAAGTCTATTTGTTTTGTCAAATAAATTTTATTTTCTTAACCATCAAAAAGTTATTTGATTTCAATATTAACAATTTTTTGGGTTCACTATACAAGATGTATTGAAGATTTCCTACGTTAGTATTTGTAATCAATTTTTTGTTTTGCTATCTAATATATGTTTGTGTTTATATATTATGTTAATTGATTGGTACTTTTATATTGGTTTTATACGTAGGTGTTTTTACATTAAATACATGCAATATTTGGTTTTAACGTAAGATTTGAAATCATTTTTTTTTTTTCCATTCTTTTGAGCAAGGAAAGACATATCTCATAACTAATGGTGTTACGAAAAAGTTAATATTTGAAGTTACCAACTCAATTATAGATTTTAAGAATTAATATTTTATAATTAACATTAAAAAAATAATATTTGAACCTAATTATAATCCTAATATTACATTTAATTATGACATCAAATGACTAATACTCGAATTCAATTATTATGATAGTGACTAATATTTATCTCTAATATTAAAATTAATAAAAATCATATCTCAGTATTAAAATTCTTTTAAAAAAAATATTAACAATGAATATAAATAACTTCAAATTACATTGTTAAAGAACTAGGTGTTCTAAATATGTAATCTTTCAGGAATATTATGATAGATGAGCATATTTCCTGTTCTTATATTTTCATGTGTTTATTTTAATTGAATTGTTTATTGTGCAACAGCTGTCATACTAACACCTTCAATTATCTACTCCAAATTAGTTGCAGCCTCTTTCTTTGTCTTTTCTTGCGTTTTGGCCTTTTCCTTTCAATATTTTATTATCAAGTGGACTAAGTTTATTTCACATTTCTGCCACTCTGCAGTAAAGAATTCGGAGACCAACTCCCTCGTACATGAGATGAAATAACAAAACTCCTTTAAGGTTTTGAATTCGAGTTCTAAATATGTAATTCATTTAAAATTTGAGATAAAGCATTTTGCCTCCATTTGGAAACCTGTTTGACATGAATTTGGACCCCTATTTATGGACCTGCTTGATGCAAATCTAGACATCGTATGGTTAAAAAAAAAAAAATTTCGAGATGGAATTATACTTCAAATATTGGAAGGCCAAAAATAAAATAAGATAAATTGAAAGTAAGATTGGAGAGTCATTGTAGATACTTTTGAAAATGTAAAAAAAAAAAAAAAAATGTTGAGAATGGAATCGTGATGGAACTAGAAATAAAATTTAGGAGGCGCAAAAAATTTTTAAAATTTGATAGGACAAAATTGAAAATATTCAATTTTGGGGGAGAATTCAAAAAAAAGAAAAAAAAAGGGTTAGGGAGGGCACTCCTGCCTTCCGTCTTCTGGAGGAATTAAATTTCATAAAATTTTGAAAGAGTCAAAAGGAACTTAGGTAATTGAGGGAGCGTTTTAACCCCTTTTTTGGTCTGCTTATTGCCAATTCAAATTAGTCATATCAATGAAATTCAGACACTGTATGGTTAAATCGAAAAGGGATATTTTTGATAACACATATAGGGTTGTAGAAGATTTAGACTCTTAAGAAACTTAGGTACACCAGCTCCCTCAAATTACAAGATAGTTGCACCTTGAAAGTATTACTTTAAGGGAGAATAGGCCCCAGTAACTGCTTATGCGAATAGACATGAGTGGTTTAAGATGATCTGAGCTCAATTTCCCGTCACCCTCCCTTATAAATCTTGTAAATATATATATATATATATATTGGCATATTGGTTACTCATTTTTAAAATGTTAATGCAAAGGAGTACGAAACAAATCTAAAACCTCTCCCTCTCAAAATACAAATTATTTAAGATTCACTAAAATTAGAGAAACAATTAATTCTTTTAAATTATAATAAAATCAAAAATAATTTGATCTAATTATTTGTAACTTATAAAGATACCTATAATATATAAAAATATCTTATGAAGATAATTATAATATCTGAAAATATTATTTATTATTTTTTAAAATACTCAAAATAACTTATATCGAATTATATTTTGAGACAAAATAAAATAATTTATATTTTAAAAGCAAAGAAAATAAATCTTATCATCTAATACAAGAGGCCACAAAAAAATACTGATTTTGATAGTTGATTGGAGGTGAACAAGGAAGATAGCATAAAACATTTGTGTTTTACTTCCTTAGAAATAGCTAAGAAAGTTGTATTTCTCTAATTAAGTACAATAAATTTACAATGTCCCATTACGCTTAAATTTACATAATGGACATTATCATCTTCTGAAATTTACCAGCAATTTGCTTTAGTCGATTTATATACTAAACACATTCAAATTATACTTTCACATCCATTAAGAAAAAAATTATACTTCCACATAAATAATTTATAATTCCCTTGGAAGGGTATCTTATATTTTCCAGAAAATAGGTCATTTTGAACCAAATGAGGCCCAAGTAATATAAAAATATTATGCCTAACCATAACTAATTAAAAGGATTTAATTGAATAACAACCTATTTTCAAATTTAATTTTCCCTATACAATAAAAATCTCAAAAAAAAAAAAAAAAAAAAAAAAAAAAAAAAAAAAAAATTTACTTTTCACATCCATTAAGAAAAAAATCGTATACTTTCCACATAAATAATTTATATTCCCTTGGAAGCGTATCTTATATTTTCCAGAAAAATAGGTCATTTGAACCAAATGCAGGCCCATAGTAATATAAAAATATTATGCCCATAACCATAACTAATTAAAGGATTTAATTGGAAATAAACAACCTATTTTCAAATATTTAGATTTTCCTATACAATAAAATCTCAAAAAAAAAAAAAAAAAAAAAAAAAAAAAAAAAAATAAGAAACAAGGATTGGGAATAAAAAATGTTTATTGCCTATGGTGTGAGGTGGTCACCAACTCCTGCTTCAATAGGCATTAGGAATAAAATCAAAACACGTAGGAGAACCACAAACAGAGATAATTGGTTAAACTATAAAAATTTATTGAATTAAAAAAAAAAAAAAAAAAAAAAAAAAAAAAAAAAAAAGAAACAAGGATTGGGGGATAAAAATGTTATTGCCTATGGTGTTGAGGTGGTCACAACTCTGCTTCATGCATTAGGAATAAAATCAAACACGTAGGAGACCACAACAGAGATAATTGGTTAACTATAAAAATTATTGATTTTGCTGTGCTTCTTCCGGACCCCTTGTTTTACCCCTGAGCATCTCTGTGAAATTACCCCGCATGATACGCCTGAATCTCGTATCTTCGGCTGGTGCAGGTGGCTCTGTTTTTGGGGTCTCAGGCTGTGGTGGTTGATGGTCTACAGGTTCTTTCTTGCCCAACAGCCCACCTTCTCCAAAGAAACTTGTGACTGATGATGCGATCCCAAGAGGTGCGCCCATCACCTTACTAATGGCCTCAAAAGTTCCACCTGATCTTTCCTTCATTATTATCTCTAGAGCTTCTTTGTGTGCTGGATCTAATGCATCCGGATCTTTTAACAGGTTATGTATGGCTGGTAGCAGGTATTCCCGCACGCTAGTCGCAGAAAGATCTGCAGCAGGTAAAGATGAGATAATGTGATATTTTATCTGCAATAGAATAAAGAGAAACCTATCTTGGAGCCCGCAAGCTTATCATGTTGTCTATTGAGACCCTGACTTCTATTTCCTCAGTTTTGGGGTTCCAAAATGGTCTTCTCCAACAAATAACATGTAACAATCATGTGCCAATGGTCAATGATTAAAAAACGTGTTGATATTTCTATAAAGTTCATTCATCAAGTACTCGGTCAAAGGGAAATCAAACAAAATAATGGAACTGTTTGGGGTATAAGAGAACAAGATTGTCTTCAAACCTGTAGCATCTAAGGCACGTATTGATTCACAGAAGGCATTAGCTCTCTCACGGCGACGCATGACATCACTTGCAGATGCTGGTGCGGCAGTAAATTGAAAAATCTTGGACAGTAGGTGTGTGTAACGTTAAGGAAACAGTGAAATAACGTATTTAAAACTGGAAGACAAATAAAGTGTTGTGAATGGCTGAAAAACATGGACAAAATTTTCTCAAAATAAATGGTCCTAAAATTAATTATCCAAAACGTTTAGGATATAATCTCTGAGTCTCTCTGTCGTGTGAGGTACTGCTACCAGTAAACCACGGACAACAGCTATGGTAGCCTCATGGGATCCGTCTTCAAGAAAAGCATCCATTTGAACACGTATTTTATCAACAATCTGAAACATGACAAATGTGATGAGTGAAACATACAAACTGCTTCCCCAAGATTGCCAATATCCCTTCAGGAAAGAACATTTATACCATGTCATTTTTGAAATGTTGTGCCACAGCTCCAAATGCATCTATGCTCGCATACTTCACATTCAGGTTTTGATCAGACCCAAGAGTGATTAAGGCAGGCAAAATATGGGTAGAAGCAACTTTTGCATCAATGTATGGCACCTGTGGAATTAATAAAAGTTCAAATTTCAAAATAATGTCAGGTGAAGTTGATATTTCAAAAAAAATAAATAAATAAAACAAATGCTGGAATAGCTTCAAGTGATGATTAAGAGCAATGAGAACTCACTATGACTTTCACCAGAAAGGCAGCATTGATTTTCATATCAACATTGGTACTAACAACCATTTCCCACAAAATACTGAATATCATACTGTGGTGCTGTTCAATAGTACTGCATCATGGAAGAAACTTGATAAACTAGTCACATATAACTTACAGACAATGGTAAACAAAGGCATGTGGTTGTCTACAAACCAAAGAAAGCGGACAGCACCGATAATCTCCACACTGGTTTTTTTTGACTGATTCTCTTTTAGGCTGCCTTCAATTAGCAACCTTCTCAAGTAGCCTGCTAACTGTTCATGCTTGCTGGGAGTACCTAGAACACCTGCCAAAAGGAGTGGCAGAACGCACATTGTAGCAAGCCTCTCAGCCACAGCAGTTTTTGGCCTCAAACCTGTAAGAAAGAAACAACAATTAAAAATAATAATGTGAAAGAAATTCACAAAATGTATGCACTGATACCTTTGATTTTTGAATTAATGGTAGACGGAAAATATGTAAGATCAGCATTATCCCCAACTGCTACCAAGAACACTGGCATCATTATGTGTACCAGATAGAGATCCCCGAAGTGTTTACTTGCAGCCAGCAAAAACTGCAAGCCATTTTCCAAATTAGAAACAACTGATGCACTGTCCTCAATACATGGCAGCAAATTAGATTCTAATGAATTAATCCCAAGCAGACAGATTACCTTTGTCGTTTTGTTTCTTAAATGGTCTTCTTTTTGAGGCAACATGCAGGCCAGCTGTATCAAATCAGGAAAGCAATCAACATGCATCCACTCAAATGCAGGCCAGTCAACATGTCCCCTATTAAGACATTAAAATCTATCAAAAGCAAAATATTTCCACCGCCAAGATTTCAGGATTGACAAAAATACTTAAGTTTTTCTCCACCAGCAGACAGAGCAAAAAATGAAACAGACATCTAGAGCTTACTTTGAATATAATTCAAGTAATGACAGAGAGAAGAATCCATCCTTTGACTCTGGTACTGAAGAAAACGGACAAGTCTCAATTGCCTTTTGGTGCACAAAGGGAAGCAATTCCATCAGTATTCTCAAAAAGACATCAATATTCCAGCGCTCTCGTTCCCCTAGAACACGTAAATGTGACTCCACTGAGCCTTCAACCCCGGAAAGAGGTGGACAGCGCTGAAGACGGTCGAGGGATACAATCATTATAAACCAAGTACTGAGTAAAAGCAAGAAATAAACTATGAGAAAGAAGTATACCTGAGCAGAGCTCAAGATGTTGGAAAGCAAAGTTCTTAAAATGTGTTCCAATTTGTTTCCCCATTTTATTACTGCAGGAAGTAGCTCTTTAAGTGCAGTTTCCACCACCACTCCAGAGGGATCACGGACCAATTGGAACATCATCTCCTCAACCTATCACAAATAGATTTAAGCATTGTAGGAAACTTAAATGTGTCAAAGAAATTTAATTTTCATATACATATTACAGAAAAATATCTTTTTTTCTCTCTCTTATTTTCTCATTTTCATCTAACTTAACATTTTATTGCTAATGGAAAAAGCTCCATTCCTAGACCAATGTGCCATCAACCTGTTCTAGACCTCTCATAGTAGCCAACCATCAAATCAAAATTCCTTTCCATGATTGCCTCAAAGCATATTTAGTGAGGCTGACCTTGAAATATTTGTCCACATTCGGGAAGAGTGGGAGCAGCAAAGCCAGATTACTCGCAGCAGCCTCTCGAACAACAGTTGCAGAATCTTCTATCAGTTGTTGCATAATGGATAAAATTAGAGAATCACGGATCTCAGGCAGAACAAACTCTGCAAGCTCTCCACAAGATTGAGCAACAAGCAGTCTACGCTCTTCATATGTGTGATTTATCTGCAGTCCATGAAACCAGACAAATGAAACAGAACATTCAGAAGATGAAAGAGAAAGCAAGAAAAAAAGAACTAAAAATGAGCCAGATGGGAAACCCCAAAAAAATCATTACTGAAACTCACTTGTTCCCAACACTGGGGAAGCAATTCTGTTTCTGTCCGCATTTCTCCTACATTTTTCGCTAGGGTAACACAGGCCTGAAATAGAGGTCAGAAGTCAGATCCAAATTGTATAGCTGTGCCACAATATAATTGAGATATCAAGGAATTCATTGTATGATCAAAACCGATGACCTACATCCATAATGATTCTTCTCTGCTGCTCATCCGGACGTTTTATCAAATTAAACAATAAGTGGGTCAAGGAATCTCGAGTAGTACTATCTGGATGACGCTCAATTGCACACATCATTAGGGGAAGAAGCTCCTGTGCACAAAAATGTGGAATACAGTATAAGAAGACTCATTATAGATATTGGATAGAATATAATAAATTAGAGAAATGCAAACCTCCCGGTGATTGATCAAAACATAAGGAACAATTTTGGGCAATGCATCTGCAAGTATCTGAATTGTTTCTAAACCCTGCAAAGCAACATCATATGTCCTGTTATGCAACGAAATTCCAACCAACAGGAAAAGGGAAGCATAACAAGAAAGACCTAAGAAAATATACTACAAAGGTATTCCTATCAATAATATCGTTCACAAATTTAATCAGAAACCAAGACTCTTAATACCAAGAGAGAATCCAGAGAAGGATAAGGAAAGAACAGAATTTGCTAGAGAAAGACGATGAACTTGCCGTGTTTTCAGCAGTAGCCTCAACACTTAAGTTGTCCAATTTCATGTCTATTCCACCATCTTCTGATGGTCGTTCACCATTTTCTTTGGAGCTTCTTTGACTGCTTTCAATATTAATATCTCCATTTGAATGATTTCTCACCAAATCTGACAAAATTCCCTCAGGGTTACCAGTGTTGCTAGTCACTGGTGATGGAACATCTTCATTGCCTAACACTCCAACCACATTGCGTGGATGAGAAATTATAGTTTTATCTTCATGTATCTCAACAACTTTATCTTCTGTCTGCATAGACTCTTCCTCATAATTGATGGGATTTAAAGATTCGGGAGGTTTTGTGCTTTTTGCCTTCAAGCTTTCTATTTCCATCTGCAATGCTGTTATTTCTTCCTTGTACTTCTCCAAGGACTGGGATTGAATAGAATCAACATCACTAGCAATCATGCTCCGTCCAGAGCGATATCCTTCTAGGTGCATTTTCAGTGAAGTGATTTCAATTCTGCAATCATTAAGTTCCTTTCGCTGGAGCTCCCAAGATTGCTTCAACTCTTGCATCTAAAATTGAAAAACATATATTTAGATATAGTCAATATTGTGCTCATTACGAGAGAACTAATGCAGCAGCATAAAGATGCAGTGCAGTAAGAGAGAATTACCTGGTTATCCCTCTCCTTGAGATCTTTTTGAAGGGCTTCTAAAGTTTTATCAACAAAATCTTTGTTTTTGAGTAATTTCTCTTTTTCACGATTCAGCTTGTCACAGACCTTTTTCAATGACTCATTTTCTCTGAGCATGGCAATTTTCTCCTGCAAAATAGAAAACGAGTTTACATTTCAGCACAGAACCCACCTCCACTCCACATCAAATGTTAATACATATTTGTTAATAATGATTGTGGAGATCTTTTTGAAGGGCGCTTCTAAAGTTTTATTCAAACAAAAATCTTTGTTTAGAGTTAATTTCTGCTTTTTCACGATTCAGCTTGTCCACAGACCTTTTTTCAATGACTCATTTATCTCTGAGCCATGGGCCACCTTTTTCAATGACTCATTTTCTCTGAGCATGGCAATTTTCTCCTGCAAAATAGAAAACGAGTTTACATTTCAGCACAGAACCCACCTCCACTCCACATCAAATGTTAATACATATTTGTTAATAATGATTGTGCAAAATCTAAATTTGTACCACTCAAATGCAAGTATTAACATAGAAAAATTTGAAGGTTGTTACATGATCAACAAATACAAGGATGGAATAGTACACTTCAAAACAACCGTGGATATTAGACTTCAGATAATGTTATCGGTACTGAGTTTAATAATCTAGCAATGACGAATTTTCTTTTTCTTTTTTTGCTTTAAACAGAAACTTTGGATAACAATCAAGGAAGGAATCAGCCTAACCATAAATAACTTTAGAACATGATTTGTGTACTATATGTTAATAACATAATATAACCTAATAAAATTGCAATTAGAAATAGTCTAGCTAAGTGGATAATGTGTGATCATATTTGGCCTGCACTTAAAATAAGAAATGTAAGCCACAAAAAAATGGTACTTTCTTGTAGTCAAAGCCTGATGGAGAATTGTGGAGGACATTGACTTTTAAATACACATTTGAAAAGTCTAGCATGGCTATACATATATGTAGCAAGTTGTTAAACCAGCATATGTTTCATGAAATACCTCAGCAGCCTGTGAAGTGGAAGAAAGGTATTGATAGTAATAATGTCGCAAGGCATCTGGCACATATGCCCCGAAGCTATCTAGGTCACATATGCGGGCGGTAGTTCTGCCAAACATCTAATTCTGATCTATAACTGAAGTGAAAGAATTGGTAAGAGCAATCAAATGAATTGCAAATTTCTTCAACAATACAAAAGCCAAACTAGTCACTGTGACCAAAATGGGCACAATGTACAGATTCAACACATCCACTCGAGCTGAACGCTACTTTTCAACGCCAATGGAGCCACAAACACTGTTTTATGCAAACAAAATTTTAAGAAATATCTGTCTGATTGTTGCCTCCAATAGCCAATTAAGTAAATGAAAATCCATAGTCTCTGCAAATATGAAATTTTCACACGCATTCTTTTTCTATTTTAACACCACACATTAAAAACTGTCTTAACCAAGATAACTGAACTTTTCAAACAGACTATAATTATGTACTGGACTTGATCACTTTGTGCTTAAACAAAGTAAAAGTGAAGGACTGTAAGCTTATCCAATAAAGCTCAATAAAGCAACTTTTTACCTTGACACTGCCATTCACGCTTGAGTCCCAGCATTATATAGCTAAGTTAATATATACTACTATATAGCAACAAAGAGTTCCATGTACTTGTCATCTAACTTTGCAGACTCTAAAATCTTTTAATAGTTTCGCATGTCTTTTAATCGATACTTTGTCTAACTTTTGGATAAGCAAACAAGTGGGTTTCGGTTTTTCAGCTAAATGAGAGATACAACAGACAACAAAGTGCAGAAAATGCTGTAGGAAATGCATGCTATACATCTTTACAAGATACGGACCTCCACTATTTTCTGTCAGAACCAAAAGATCTTCATATTAAAAATAAAAACCATGGCAGGCAATAATAACAAACAAAAAAAAATAATTTGACATCAAAAAGGTTTTACACAGTCACTTATTCATAGCAAGTGCATAGCAGGTAAGCCGATATCCACTATAAGTATATATATTCCTTCAACGGCGAGTTAAGATCCCTACGCTCATTATCCTTCAATGGGGCCCACGTTAGAGAGCGATAGCGTCCTTACTTTTGCCGTAAGAAATCCTGTCCAGTGCTTTCAGAATCACGTCTGATTTTGAAATCTTAGAATGCAATCCAAGGATAAAAGTTCACAAAAATTAGAGAACAATATTTAATCTAGCCAATGAAATAAATCCGATTTTTATACAGGCAATCCAAAGATTCTTATGGCTACTTTACATATTAAACATAATGCTTGTAGACAAAATAATCATAAATTAATAAATTGAACAAATTGGAGGAAATGTTTGAAACAAATTTACTACTATTGTTTCTTGAGCTATAAAGTACCTGAAATGGGCAACAAGTAGTTGAAGAAAAACACAGACAATCCAAATATCTTAAACTTAAGAAATGGATACTCCCTTCATATCCAATATCAAACAACCGAGCATAGTATTACAGAAGTAATCAAGAGATACCAGCTCAGAAGCTTATGCAGAATTGGCCTAAGCATATACTCAGTGAATATAAAACACTATACTAAAGTGCACAGTACCCTAAAAATCGAAATAAATTGCACATGACCTCCAGAAAGTCCATTCTCCAACTAGATGACATGAAATGCTAAGTGACTGCAGTTTAACCATTGTGCAGTATAATGTGGGCTATGGTGTCAATTCCTTTTTGCGTAAAGAGAAGAAAGAAGCAAGAGAAGTGAATTCGGCCCTAGTATATTACCTAAAAAATCAATAAAAAGTATAACACTATTTATATTTTGGTAGCAGTCTCCACTGTATACATAGTTTACATTGATCAGAGCCAGCTGTAGATAATTCATGGTTTCAAAAGGTGACCCCTTTCAAATTCTACAGACAAACACTATATAATTTTTTATATTGAAGATAGCAAACATAAAAAAGTCATACAAGATTCTTATGAAGTTATAACATCAAAGGAGAAATGAAATTTACCACTCAATTCAGCTGTGTAAATCTTTTTTTCTTCTGTAGTTTCAGTCTGCAACTGTTGTAATGTCCTCTTGTGCAAACGTAGCTCATATTCACTAGTGCCAATTTCTCTTTAACCTAAGCTGTTTTCTTCTTCTAGTAAATTCCCTGAGGGTCTGCACTGCTTTTTCAAGAATAAGGGGCAGAAGAGAATCGCTTACATTCTGTGATTCAAGATAAAGCAAAAAAATGGCAGTTACATATCAAGTAGTAAGTTCAAAGCCCATCTATATGCAAGTATCTACACAATTGTACATGCATAAAGAATTTATGCTAAAGTGCGCAATAAGTTTTCACTAACTTAATTTAAACCATTAACAAAAACGGGCAAGAAGAGGAAGAAATATACTGTTCATTAATGAATTACAGTTACCACTAGATACAGTAAATCAGGACAACCAGTGATGCGAATTAATATCATACAGTGTGTATAAAAACACATCTTATAGAAGCTAAATCCATAATGTGAATCATTTGCAGAAAGTGAAGTCATAAGGCTCCTTTTATTTTTTTCTCTGGAATCGAGCAAACAAATTTTGCGAAGATATCCACTCACTATTTCAACCATCGATTTTCCATATAACAAGAAATGGATTCGTTTTTCAGCAAGTGCAGCTCAAACCTTAGTCTATCCTACTTGGTCCGCATTGTAAACTGCTACGCACCCTTGCTAATCCTATCTCATAAGAACAAACAATCTGAATTGTTTTGCTCTAGCACCAGCGTCAAAGCAGCATGGCTTTTTGCTTTTTTACAGCATCATTTCAACATTCCCAGAACATACTAAAACCATGCTAAATGTGCTCCTTAACCCAGCATCCATCAGGTGTCTATAGTTTGATGAACATCCTCCATATTCTTGAATTTGGTGCATTCCAAAGATGCAAATATTCTGTACATAACAAAGATCTTCCTTGTATTCTCTATGAGTAACACTTCAAACATTTCACCTGACAAACTAACAACAAGTTTACATTCTTGATTCTTCCTACAGACGAATTACTTACTATTTGTAGATTTATATAGTGAATGTAATACAAACTTAATATTATCCCCCATCAGCTCTTAATACATATTTTTACTTCTATGTCATATCCTAACTGTAAACTGTAAATCCCATTTAACACAAAAAAGGGTATATGTAAATCCCTCCATCCAAATATTCCTTCAAAGTTGACAATAAAATCACACCCTAAAGCCTAAGAAGGAAATAAAATAAACAGAATTAATGTCTTCCATCTTTGTAACCTTTGTGGCTCAGCATTTCTTATGTCGCATTCAAAAACTAACCCTTTGTCTGTGCTTTCAAGTCATGGCCTAACATTCCTAAGAATGTAATGCCTTTAACAAAAACTGGTGCCAAATTTCCCGAAAATATCATTTGACCACATTAAACAACTTAGTTGAATTGCTCAATGCTGATTGAATGTCAAACCAGTCTGTAAATATCTAACTTTTCATTCCCAGTGCGCAGTGATATTAATTGAATCTCTCATGCTGCTTATAGCAAATCTTGAAATAACTCGCTTCAATGCATAAAGCTATCACTTCCTCAAATGAAACTCGGATTCCTTGCTTCATCCACCAAATAATAAAAATTCTATCCTACATCTCAAAACCTACTCTTATCAATTAAACACACTTAACAATAAGCTCCACATGAGGTAATCAACTCAAGATTGAATTACCATATCACAAAAAGAAATGTCAAGACATAGCACCAAACAGCATCACAATCAGCCAAAAGTAATAGCTAAACAAGAAAAACCAAGCCAGGACATGGTAAGCTAACAGTGTAGGTAATTCAACACCGACTAAAAGAAAAATTGAGGTGGAAAAAAAGAAAACCTTGCGACAGATTATTGAAGCGAGAGATCTGATCGGAAAGGAAGTGAGAAGGATAGCGGAAGAACCTCCTTAAGCGAATGGCGTGGTCGTCCTCTGACCATCGTCGAGGAAGCTGCATGAAGCAAATTCCAAATGCCGTGTACAGGCTGTTCTCTCTAGCAAGAAAATTTACACGCAAGATTGCACAGAGACGACTCTCTACCCATTTCCATTTTTATCTCTTTCACTCTCACTATCATTCTTAGCTCTGATCTCTCTGTGTATTAACTTTGATGAACTTGCAGGTTTTTTTTTCCTTGTTCCGGCTGTTGGATTCTGGATTCTGTCGTGAATTTAAAGAGCTTCATGACTCATTTTAATTCTTATATGGAATGGGTAATACGATGCTTCCAGTTGGTGTCGGCTTTTCGTGAAACTCCGGGTTTAAAAAGTCCTGGGATTTTTATGATTTTAGATTCGACCGATCGAACGGATAAATTTCATTTTTGACTTTGACGGTGGGTCCAACGAGCTTTTGTTGCCACCGTCACGAAAGTCAATAGTAGGTTCCTCGAATTTTCTTTATGCTTTTTTATTTAACCGCGTACGGTCACGTGCACTGTTGAAACGTGGCAAATTTTAGGCTTTTCCCTTTTTTTTACCCTCATGTAAGTATAGCCACGGTTCCTCTTTTGACAATGAAAGTAAATTGAATAATTGAATTCAGTCTGAAACCGGATTAAATTCGAACTCAATACAATTTCGGTTTTCAACTATAACTAAAACCGTACATTTAATGGTTTGGTCTTATTTTTCTCTTAAAATTGAAAAATCGACTTGTTTTATTTGAAATTAATGATTTTGGGTTTACTCCTTAATTTATTATTATTTGATTATAATTTTTTAAATAAATTTAAAATTTTTATTGAGTTGGTTTTAATTTTTTTTTCAACAATACTAATTTATTTGTATTATTTTATTCAAACTACAAAACAAAAATTAAAAACATCTCAATCTAGTTTGATACAAGAAATGAAACCAAATCAAACTATTTCAATATTCGTCTTATTTACAACCTAAAACACAGCTCGATTATTCCACCTTCTTTATAATATGGTTTGAAACCATAGTCATAGTATTCCCATCATACAAACTAATGTAAAAAGGTTAGACCAATAAACTTTGCTAGTGGTTGGAATTTATTATAAATCCAGCTTTATATATTTTTAGCGACTCTAAACCTATC